TTAATGCAGGCTGCAATGTCCATAATAGAATAAAGGGACAAAGAGACTATTGTAGCATTTTTGTTAGAGAGGTGGGAGGTTGGGCTACCATAGATTAGACCAGGATAGTGGCGGTGAAGATACATGGATTTAAGAATTTCAGGAGGTAAGTCCAGTAAGACATGATGACCTAAATGGAGGGAGAAGGAGGTATTGAGGTGGGCAGATAAAGGGAAGAAGGAACACTTGGGGAGGACAAGGTGTGGGCCGGCCTGGGGCATGGGGGGAGTGGTGTGGAGCAAATCGGGGATTCAGTCATGGATACGCTGAGCTCGAACTCCTTTAAGGCAGCAGAGTCAGGTGCACTCCTGTATGTTTGCCCGGTGCTGAGAGACAGAACTAGATGCTCACTATCAGTAGATGTCACTTACTATTTTAGGAGTTATGAGATTTTCTTAGAAATGGAGTCTAGGGTAGGAAGAGAAGAGGCCTGAAGATCATGAATCTTGAAGAACTGCATTGTTTTGAAATTTGATAGAAGTAGATGAATTAACAAGAACATGGTAAGTTCTCTGTGGTCAGAGAATTAGGAGGAAAATCTGGAGAGTGAGGGGTCCTGAGCACCACTGGAAGAGAGTGTTTCAGGAGAGAAGTGTCTCGGGTTGCTGATGTGTCTAGATAAGGTTGAAAAAGATCCTGCATTTGACAGGAGGCAGGGCCATTTCATGGAGAGGGTGGAGGCCAGAGCCAGACATTGAAAGGGACTGAAGAGTGCTCTGCACGTGAAGACATGAAAGGAGTGTGACTTCACCTGTGTGATGTAATAAATGATGGTCTATGGAACACACCAAGATTATTTTTTTTGTGGTTCCCTTTTCTGTTGTTCTTTTGACTCTTCATACTTCCTTGTTTCCTTGAGTGATTCATTTATCTCTTAAGTTTCAGATTGGATTAGGGCCTTGTCTCCTTATGAGTATGGATTTTGCCTAATCCGTAAGTGCATTGTAGTATGTAGCATAAGAAACACTGAAGTATACTTAGACGATAAGTAATCGAAGCGTTGGCTTTGGAGTCAAGCAGCCTGGAATTGAAAGCCTGTTCTGGTGCTTACTCACTCTGTGTCCTTGCAGAGTTTGCTTTTATCCACTGCGTCTGAGTTTCTCATCAACAAAACTGGGGGTGGGGTGTTGGCAATAATGATAGAACCTAGGTCAGACAGGTTCTGTGAGTACTAAATTACTCATTGCTTAAAAATACAAATTTATCTGGCATTTTAAGCACTCAGTAAATACTACTCAGCATACCCACTGCTTTGGGATTATTTCTATGAATAGTATTCAAGGGCCTTAATGCCCTTTCCCTTCCTTCTTTTCATAATGCTGGCTCTCTTTTTCCCAGGACTGATCATGTCCAATGGCCAGGTGTGGAAGGAGCAAAGAAGGTTTGCCCTGATGACACTGAGGAACTTCGGTTTAAGAAAAGAAGAGCTTAGAGGAACGCATTCAGGAAGAGG